ACGTAGGGAAAGGGGAAGTACTAGGGACTTTAGGGAAGGACATCACCATATGTATGTCACCATGTACATCCTGGGACTATGTAGTTGCTCATACCAAGCGGGGCGGGGGGGGATATGTCAATCTCCATACACAGTTTAGGGACAGGTGTAGTATTGTGAAAGTAGGGAATTACCAGAAATGGCAGTGCAACCCATATAAGGGTAGGTACTGTCTGAAAGTCTAAATTACGCTAAAACAGGTTACAGACCTGAACAAGTGAGATATCCTCTTCAACTGGGGCACCCTATAGAGTAAACCTCTCTGAGGGAGTTAGTGAGACCGGGGCTGTGGTGAAGATAGTGCAAACTATAGACCTGAAGAAAGTAGGACAGGTGGAGACAGGGTGTAGAAATCTTGACCTGTGGTTGGAATGGGTTCAGTTTACGGCAAGAACTATGTCTAAAGAGGACTGTTATGCCTGTGGGACAGCCAAACCAAGGTTAACAACTACTCCGTTCCCCTTGACAGGCTTTGACTCTCTGTCAGGTTTATCCTCCATGCAAGCCTCCTGGGAATGTGGTGAAAGAGTCTTGTAGTAACTTGCACTATCTGTATCCCCCGATAACAAAGTCATCCCGACCTAGGTTGCCTCCGTTTGAAGTCTCAGGGGATTCTAATTGTTTTTCTAGGACTGATAAGATAGGATACAGGGTAGGACATCTTAGCTCCTGCTCCCACACAGAGAATATCACAACTAAAGAGACCATGACTAATCTCTCCTCTTTGTTGCAGCCAGAGGATTTTAGGAACCAAAACCAGGCCCGTGCTGACATCTGATGGTTGTGTGGTGATAACAGATTGTGAACTCACCTACATACGCAAACAATCAAACGTGTCAGAGACTGGTGAGTTGTCACGTAGAAAGTAGGACCTCCTCCCGGGATCCTTTGATGAAAGGATATATATTGATGGGATAGGAGTACCTCGAGGGGTTCCAGAAGAATTCAAAGCTAGGAATCAGATCGCAGCTGGGTTTGAATCAAGTCTTTTCTGGTGGTCAACAATTAATAAAAACGTAGATTGGATGAATTATATTTACTATAACCAGCAAAGATTTATAAACCACACTCGTGATGCAATAAAGGGATTAGCTGAGCAGACAGCGGCAACTAGCTTAATGACATGGCAGAATAGAATAGCTTTAGATATGCTTTTGGCTGAGCGGGACGGGGTTTGTGTTCTGTTTGGATATATGTGCTGTACTTTCATCCTCAAACAACACAGCACCGGACGGGTCCGTGACCAAAGCGCTTCAGGGACTCACCACGCCGGCGAACGAACTGGCTGAGAACTCTGGTATTGATAGTTCCCTAAACGGTTGGTTTGACAACATATTTGGTAAATGGAAAACTATTGTTGTAACTATTCTGGGTGAAGTTATAGCTTCTATGGGTATACTTGTTCTTTGTGGATGTTGTCTTATTCCCTGTGTCTGAGGGTTGGTGAGAAAAGGAGATGGAGTAGGCGGTTTCCCAACAGATGGTGAGATACGGCCCAATCCCGGACTCCGACCTAAGGAATGAAGGATATGACCTACCAGGCTTGGTGGAGTGACACTCTAGAGGGTGTCTAAAGGGGGCCAAAATGTACTTCCCGTTTGTGTTTTATGTTTTAATAATCTTGTGTTTTGTGTTCTATTAATCCTGTGTTTTATGCTTTATTAATCAAGTTAACCATTGTGATTGTTTATTCCTCCTGATGTGAAGGTAAAGGATTCCTGGGTGGCTGGTAGCCAACTCAGTACATGTTAGGTGTAGGGGAGGATGGAAGGTTTTTAACATTTATTTATTTTCTTTTATAATAAAATTTTAGTGTGAATCAATTTTTGTTATGCTGTTATCCTCATGCTTACTTATGTGTTGTTCAACTATGTTATTTGGAGTGACACCATAATGGGTGTCAAAAGGGGGAATCCAAATTTCCCTGAAATTTCTTATTTTGGGTTTTCTTATTTTGGGTTCACACCCAGTGGGTGTGAAAAGGGGGATTGTGGGGTTCTATTTTCTCATAATTTGATCTGTATGTGATGAATAGCTTAGAAGGAATGCATTAATGATAAGCATAGGTTTGTACTATACTGATATAAATTGTTTCACATAACAGGCTGTGATTCATGTGAGGAACGTTAGGGGCTAGGATGAGATAAAACTTGTATTTCTTATAGATAAGACTTGTATTTCTCACAGATACGAACACTGCCTCTTTGTTGTCTGTGAACCGTCCTTGAACGTAGTACAGTGGAATGGTGTCTTTTGGGTGCTAACTCCACAGGTTATTATGATAGCAACTTATGCCTGGGAACGGTGGAGCGCCAAGGGGTTGGGACCAGCCCGTGCGCCAACGGATTGGCTGAGTAAGTCTAAACCACACTCAGTCTCTACTCTGATTGGCCAGCAGAGAGTGGGAACTATCTCTGTCAGAGTATTTGAAGAAGAACCTGTAACAATGGATTAGTTCTCTGTCTGCCCTGCGTGGTATTTAAGTGAGCCCGTATACGAACCAACATACTTATCATACATACATTTAGCATATAATAAATTTAGCTTGGATTGAATATCTCTTGATTATGTTTTCTCTTATTCCAATACCAGATTTGAATTACGCAATTTCTAACAGTATACAGAAGATAGCCCTATTTGGTAAAATACCAAGTCCATATTATGGCAAGAACAGCTCAAATAAGCAAAGAAAAAACGACAGTCCATCATTACTTTAAGACATGAAGGTCTGTCAATACGGAACATTTCAAGAACTTTGAAAGTTTCTTCAAGTGCAGTCACAAAAACCATCAAGCGCTATGATGAAACTGGCTCTCATGAGGACCGCCACAGGAATGGAAGACCCAGAGTTACCTCTGCTGCAGAGGATAAGTTTATTAGAAAACTTCAGAAATTGCAGCCCAAATAAATGCTTCACAGAGATCAAGTAACAGACACATCTCAACATCAACTGTTCAGAGGGGACTGTGTGAATCAGGCCTTCATGGTCGAATTGCTGCAAGGAAAGCACTACTAAAGGACACCAATAAGAAGAAGAGACCTGCTTGGGCCAAGAAACACAAGCAATGGACATTAGACCGGTGGAAATGTGTCCTTTGGTCTGGAGTCCAAATTTGAAATTTTTGGTTTCAACCGCCGTGTCTTTGTGAGACGCGGTGTGGGTGAACTGATGATCTCCGAATGTGTAGTTCCCACCATAAAGCATGGAGGAGGAGGAGGTGTTATGGTGTGGTGGTGCTTTGCTGGTGACACTGTCTGTGATTTATTTAGAATTCAAGGCGCACTTAACCAGCATGGCTCCCACAGCATTATGCAGCGATATGCCATCCCATCTGGTTTGGGCTTGCCAACAAGGGTTTTGCCACCAAGTATTAAGTCATGTTTTGCAGAGGGGTCAAATACTTATTTCCCTCATTAAAATGCAAATCAATTTATAACATTTTTGACTTGTGTTTTTCTGGATTTTTGTTGTTGTTATTCTGTCTCTCACTGTTCAAATAAACCTACCATTAAAATTATAGACTGATCATTTCTTTGTCAGTGGGCAAATGTACAAAATCAGCAGGGGATCAAATACTTTTTTCCCTCACTGTATATCCCCCTTTTTGTCAGCATCCCTTTGACTGCCTCATGGATATCTTCTCCCCGTGTGTGCTTCTAGATTTGTTAAACCCAACAGCTCCTCACAGAATTCCTTCATTGTTTCGTTATAAAATCTGACAAACACCAGAAGCTGGGCATTATCAGTTGATTCATCCACAGCTAATGAAATGCATGGTGCATTCTGAATGGCCTCAAGTTGTTTAGTTAAATCTTCAGCTAATATTTCAGTTCTCCTCATTGCTGTGGAATGACCGTGGGATCTGTTTGATCATTTCCCTGAGCTCATCTTTTTGTTTACCTTCAAGCAAGGTGTCAGCAACTCCACACATGCACACTTTTACCATCTCAGCGTCAGAATTTTTTTTGGTATGTTTTCCCAAAACCCAAGCTATCCTCAGTGAACATTTACATTTTAGTCATTTAGCACAGGAGCAATTAGGGTTAAGTGCCTTGCTCAAGGGCACATCAAAAGATTTTTCACCTAGTCGGCTCGGGGATTAGAACCAGCGACCTTTCGGTTACTGGCACAACGCTCTTAACCACTAAGCTACCTTGCACGTTGATGGGCTGTCAGGGAATTAACAAGGACTTTGGTGGACCTCTCGTATTGGGATTTGAGTTGGTTAATCTTGTTCGTTCTCACCTCCGTGTTTATGGGATACGTCTGATCGAATTTACTATGCCTGGTGTCATAATGGTGCTTAACAATGGCACTTTTTACGAGAGTTACGGACTCACAGCATATCAGGCACATTGGTTTTGTGCTAGTTTCGGGGAGAATTAATAAATACTGTTCCGTCCATTCGTCTTTGAATATACGGTTTCAGAGTGAACTTTTATTTTCTTTTTAACAAGCCATATTAACAAAGACACTGGTAACTAAGCTCCTTCTATCTGTGATATTTACATTTGAACCGCGGTCAAATCTTTCTCTTCATTTCTGCCTGCTTTTTCCGCAGAGGATATTTGGATATATGTGATTGGGTAAGACGCGGCCTCTTGTGTTTGCATATAACCACGCGATTGGATTAGACGGGGCACTAGTAGAGGTGGGCGTTGCTTCGAGAGAGAGCGCGAGAAAGAACGGTTGCTGAGTTAAAGGGGCCGCTACGCCCGGTGTATAAAAAAAAAAAAAAAAAAAAAAGATGTCTAAAATAATGTGTTTACTTTTATATAACAAAATGCGATGTTGTCCGGTCCGGATTGACCCTTTTCTGGGTCCGGACCGCGGTCCGCCAGTTGAGTTTGGCTGGCCTATCGCTTCCTCTCGTTTTGAGAGTCTTTTGACCTTACAAAGATGGCGCACTCAACGCTGTCATTTCCTCGGTTCCGGCCGTTCCTATGGATACAGGTTCTTGCGGAAATTGTGAAAAGGTCAGAAGTGTTTAGCACTTTCCAGCTAAGTTAGCAGAATGACATCTCCTCCATTTGAAGAAGTTGAACTGAGCAAGAAACACGAAGAAATGTGAGCTATTGTCCAGTTAAACAATTTGAGGGAAATCTTGACCATTAGTAACGTGTCGTTAAGGTTAGCTAACGCTAGTGAAAACCTGAATGTGCTTGGTGTCTAACTTAGTCTAATGTTAGCTCAGTCAGAACCATGTAACGTTAACATTAAGTTTAACCAAAGATACTGATAAACGGTAAATGTAACTAATGCTAACTAGCTGATAAAATAGGCAGCAGATCCGAGCGGCTTGCTTACAGCTGCACTAGGGTAGGACAGCATTCCTGTTTACACTGAGTACATATAACATTAGGAATACCTGCTCTTTCCATGACATATAGACTGACCAGGTGAAAGCTATGATCCCTTATTGATGTCACTTGTTCATTTCTGCTTCAATCAGTGTAGATGAAGGGGAGGAGACCAGTTAAAGAAGGAATTTTAAAGCTTTAAGACAATTGAGACATGGATTGTGAATGTGTGCCATTCAGAGGGTGAATGGGCAAGACAACAGATTTGTGCCTTTTGAACGGGTATGGTAGTAGGTGCCAGGTGCACCGGTTTGAGTGTGTCAAGAACTGCAACGCTGCTGGGTTTTTAACGCGCAACAGTTTCCTGTGTATCAAGAACGGTCCACCACCCAAAGGACATCCAGCCAACTTGACACAACTGTGGGAAGCATTGGAGTCAACATGGGCCAGCATCCCTGTGGAACGCTTTCGACGCCTTGTACGGTCCATGCCTCGACTAATTGAGGCTGTTCTGAGGGCAAAAGTGGGTGCAACTCAATATTAGTAAGATGTTCCTAATATTTTGTACACTCAATGTATATTAAGACACAGCGGAACCGACGAGATATTGCTCAGAAAACATACCTCAATCCAGGTATGAGAAATGCGGTAAACTCCGAATTGTCCCATTTATCCCAACTGTTACACTGAGAAGATTGAACAACTGCTCGTTTTTAAGTAAACTGACAATGGCTTTTCCAAAATGGCTGCTGTGGCTTCTGCTACCTAGCATGAGGACGAAAAGGACAGTTTTCCGGAAAAACTAGCAGTTGGGATAATGGAACTATTCGGAGTACAACGCATTTCTCATTCTTGGATTGAGGTACGTTTTCCGAGCCATATCTCGCGTCGGCTCCGCGTGTCATAATATACACAGGAATAACGGTCTGACCCTAGGGCAGCTGTAAGCACGCGGATCGGATCTGCTGGCAAGCTGATAATTGCGTGTTCAAGAGCATTAAAACAGTGATGTATCATGGGTAAATTGTGACTGATTGATCTACAAATAATATTGAGTAGTTATTTGTGATGCAAGGTGATTTGTAGATCAGTCAGTCAGCAGTTGTCTGCACTGTCGGCTGCGATGTCAAACAAGCCCATTAGCTAACTTTAGTTAGCCCCCTGAGAGTTTGTTGAAAATGTCCTAATTGGCTTTGGCTTTCTGAATATCCAGAACAAAAGTATAGCTAGCTCAAATGTAGCTCTACTTGAATAACTAGTGTATGCAGAGCCTAAAGCTCATTTTCACATTGGAAGCATAGTTAAGGAAGTCATCCATGTTGTGTCAGTCTAGGGAAGAGGGCTGTGCTCCTTCAGCAGATGGAGAGTCGATATGAGCAACAGAAGAGCAAGAGGAGGCAGCAGGTGAAGCTGTCACAAGCGGCACATGAGAGAAATGCCCAACTCCTCCAGGTATGAATCTACCAAGTGCCTCTCAGACCTGCTGCTAGGTTCTCTACTTGAATGTACACGTTCAGTGCATGGCTTTTGATGTGCATGTTGATGAGGCTGGTATAGGCTTTGAAGGCTATGTGAAATGGAATAGCTGAATTTGTGATAGGCTGATCCTTTCTCCAACGACAGGACTTGCAGAAAATTGAGAATCGTCTCAGAACAAGAGAACTCCCACACCCTGACATCCTCAGTTTGGAGGTAAGGGATCTCTAATAAGTAACAACAAATTAACAATGCATGCCGTCTCTCTGAAGATTCCCTAATTTTCAATGGGAGCTATTTTGAGTTGTGTTGCAGCCTGACCCTACTGTACCTGATAATCAAGTACAGTCAGGGGTCACAGATTGTTGGTGACACAGGCCGCTGTACTGTTCTAGACTCGTTACTGGGCATCAGTTGAGGAGAAGATCCCAGAATGGGAGCGCTTCCTCCTGGGTAAGGGCCCACATCCTAGCAGTGACCCTAGCAGAACACCGAAACAACGGAAACAGAAAACCACACCCAGAGACCATGCCCCCACACAAGATGGGGCTCTGCCTCCTCGTCCTATACTGAAACATGACAAATGACTTGAAGTGGACAATCTGTTTTGGCTTTTGACTTCATCTTATGTGATCAAGCAAGGAGAAACTAAAATCAGTCGACAGTTACACTAGTGTCATATGGGCTGTTTTCCTATGAGAAGAACAGTATTCTTAGCACCAACTGTATTGAGTAGGCATCATGTTGATTTACATATGTTTACACTGCAGCTCCTTTTTGTGCTCAGCCATTTTGATGTCTCAGGGTGAAGCTCAGATTTAGCCTATTTAGCCACAGTCTACATAATTGCTCCTCTTGATTGCAATGTTTACAAGCAAGGCTCACACTTTCAGTGTGAGGATATTGTCTGTAGCAATTTATGGGAATCCCATCAGAATTTTATTTGAAACAAGAATATGGTGTCTTTGAATTCATGGCTCATATCTGGCCACTAGGGGGAGGTAGCACCATAGATTTGGATAACAAAGGCACATTCCTTCAGTTAGTTAGCCTCAGGTCATTCACTTCACCATCTGTCACTCATCAATGATTTAATCAAAATTGCTCTTATTTATTTGCATATATTGTCTGTATACTAGCTATGTTCTTTTCTTATTTATACAGTAAAGCACTTTTTTTTGCTCAAACATACTGTGCAATATCTTTTCTTTCTTTTTTTTACAATCAATGCTAAAGGTATATTATATATTATGGTAAACCTCAAGCCATTCATCATTCAATTACCGTCCCCATTCTTGTTTAAGTTTAAGCAATGTGCATATATTTAACCAATAAACAGTTTCTTATTATTCACCTAATTCTTCATTGATTTATTCCGTTCACTGCAACCTTACTTTTTTCTAATAAATCATTATATTTATAGTTTAGCTTATTAGTCCGTTAAAAAGCATGAGCTGACGCACACTTAACTTTGTAGAGTTGACTAACAGAGAATAAACTACAAAAATAAAATGTTGCACACTCTATATATACACCCAACAATTTAATACATGTATCCATAAACTTGTTGGGAGCATATTAAGAATTTAGCTTATTAGCGTATAACTATTTTAAACTTTTTTTTTTATGAACCAATCCAGCACCCCCCACACTTCATCATACACTGCCTTTAGAAAGTTTTCACAACCCTTGACTTTTTCCACATTTTGTGTTACAGCCTGAATTTAAAATGGATTAAATTGAGATTTTGTGTCACTGGTTTACACACAATACGCCATAATGTCAAAGTGGAATTATGTTTTTAGAAATGTGTACAAATTTAATACAAAATGAAAAGCTGAAATGTCTTGAGTCAATAAGTATTCACCAACTTTGTCATGGCAAGCCTAAATAAGTTCAGGAGTAAAAATTTACTTAACAAGTCATCTAATAAGTTGCATGGACTTACTGTGTGCAATAATAGTGTTTAACATGATTTTTGAATGACTACCTCATCTCTGTACCCCCACACACGCAATTATCTGTAAGGTCCCTTAGTCGAGCAGTATGTTTCAATCACTGATTCAACCACAAAGACCAGGGAGGTTTTTCAATGTCTCGCAAAGAAGGGCACCTATTGGTAGATGGGTAAAAATAAAATAAAAAAGCAGACATTGAATATCCCTTTGAGCGTGGTGAAGTTATTAATTACACTTTGGATGGTGTATCAGTACACCCAGCCACTACAAAGATATAGGCGTCCTTCCTAACTCCATTGCCGGAGAGGAAGGAAACTGCTCAGGGATTTCACCATGAGGACAATCATGTTATGGGTATGCTTGTCATCAGCAAGGACTAGGGAGTTGTTTAGGATAAAAATAAACGTAATAGAGCTATACACAGGCAAAATCCTAGAAGAAAACCTGGTTGTCTGCTTTCCAACAGACACTGGGAGACAAATCCACCTTTCAGCAGGACAATAACCTAAAACACAAGGCCAAATATACATCTGGAGTTGCTTACCAAGATGACATTGAATGTTCCTGAGTGGCATAGATATAGTTTTGAATTAAATCGGCATGAAAATCTATGGCAAGACCTGAAAATAGCTGTCTAGCAATGAACAACCAACTTGACAGAGCTTGAAGAATTTTAAAAGGAATAATGTGCAAATATTGTACAATCCCGGTGTGCAAAGCTCCTTAGACTTACCCAGAAAGATCCACATCTGTAATCGCTGCCAAAGGTGATTCTAACATGTATTCACTCAGTGGTGTGAATAGTTGTGTAAATTAAATATTTCTGTATTTCATTTTCAATAATTTTGCTAAAATTTCCAAAATCATGTTTTCACTTACTCATTATGGGGTATTGGGAATTCTGGCTGTAACACAACAAAATGTGGACTGTCAAGGGGTATGAATACTTTCTGAAGGCACTGTATGTTGTGCATTAGGGGGTTGAATATATTAGCCTGAGCCATTGAGCTGTTCTCTGGAATGTCTCTAAACCATTTATATAGTCATTGAAGAGTCCTCTTTATATTTGAGCTACAATGTGATTGTGCTGTCTTTATTAAACAGAGCCTCCAGAAGGACCTTCTGTGTCTGCGATAATTGCTTTTTTTTATTGTACCTTTTATTCAAGGGTAGCCTGAGGTCAGCCAGTTACCATATGTTCATAATACTCCATAGAAATGTGTGTAAAATGACCCATTCATTTCTGCAGGTCCATTAGGCTTGCATAAACTTCTGTGGTTCTCAAGACAGGTTTTTTGGGGGGAGTCTGTTTGTTAGGTAGTTGGTATCACTTTGATCAGAAAGCGTTATTGCTAGTAAAGTTAGAATGCCTGTCTGTGTTTTCTTGTGTTATTTTACCATTATACAGTAGACCATATTCAGTATGACAAATGGTCCCATTTATTGGGGTTACAAATTGGTCAAAATGTTAGATTGTTTACACCAACATAATCGAGAGTTCTGTTCAGATATTTTCAGCTAAGACACAGGCCGTAGTGACAGTGTTAAGGAGCTGCTGTGTGGAGAAGGTACACGGGACAAAATGTGAGCTCTGATGAAGGTGGACGTCTCGCTGTTAAACAGGACGCAAAAACACAGCGAGCCTTTCCACCTGCTTTCTGACTGTCAAAGCAGCACAAACCACCCCTCTGCCCTCCCTCCTCCACCTCCCTCGTTCTTCCTTCTCTCCTTCCCTCTCTGTGGCAGAGATGGCATCCCTGATTCAGCCTAATTGCGATGATGAAACCTGCACTGGCTTGACGCGGAGTGGCGGCTTGACAAACGCAATCATCCGGATGGCCTTGGTTGAAGTGGCCATGGTTGGCAGCTGCCCTGACTCCTCAGATGGGACCCGCTCCTGCCCCCGAGGTCAGGCAGGCACCAATTGCCATGGAGGGGGGCTAATGGGGGATGGTGATGGTGGGAGGGGTGGTTGTGGGTGAAGATTTGAGGAGGGTGAATGAGGGCAGGGGAACAGGCAGCAAATTATCTAAAAGGGTTTTGAAGAGCACGATCTGGAGCCCTTCCAAATGACTAGATTCGCATTATGTATTCTAATGGTGAAGGCCCTGAGGTGGATTAGCTACGGACACCACAGTCCCGTCACGCCCCCGGCTGGCAGACCAGGCCCCTGTTACCAGGTCCTGCCAGCCAGTCCCAGCCCTGACAACCCTCCCTGAGTCCCCTGACCCCCATTACCCCACAGACACCTGGGTTAAAGCCAACCTCTCAAATTCAGCAGCAGGATTATCAGCTGACAGAGGAGGCTAGGAGGTGACCCCCTCCATCTCTAATAGCATATGCATTTGAAACCGTATGATTACATTATTTGGGGCGTCTATTGAGAGCATGCTGAGAGGCTCCTGAGAAGCACAATAACTGGTTAGCTGTCGACTTCAATTGATTGGATAATGGATGATTGCATGTTGTATTTTATTGAATAATGTGTAGTGTAGTGAGCACTGCAAAACAGAACTAAGATTTTGGCATCATTTGGTTTTGTTTTTCTATTCTTTTATAACATTTTGTTATTATGTGATAGAAGTCCAAACACACATCACATTTTTTGTAGTACACTTTCTTTTTAAATCGACCTACAGTATTTGAAAATAAACCAATGTTAAAATGCTGTTTCTCGAAATAACATGGGGGCTCCATACTGTACAATGTACTCCCGTATTATTCCTTATCACTCCTTTGATCATGTCATGTCAACTCTGGCTAAGTGCATGTCCTGCCAGGCAGGCCTGTGCCTACTGTATCAGCTAAGAGAGGAGTTGACTGTGTGTTGTTCATGTTGTGGTGGATTAAAGAGAAGTCTACATGTGGCACACTAAAAGGAAGTAACACTGACCTTAAGGGAACGCCACACTGTTCAGTATTGACTGGCCAATCTTAAGTATAGTGTTTCCTCCTAAATGGACCAGAGGTTTTTTGTGTCAACATAATCATATACCTCACTGCACTTCACTGTCTCTCTGTACTCCTTACAAAGAAAGCTTTCGGCACATACTTTTTCAATTGTAGTGCACTTAAACACAAATGTCTTTCATATACTGGAGCTTGTCTGGGATTTTTTGATTATTCTTAGACTATTGCTGCTGTAATGCTGGGAACTCCTGCAGTGTTTTTTCCCCTTTTCAAATGCATACTTACAATGTTTTCAGCTCTTTTTCCACAAGCCTACCGGTGAGGTAAGGGAAGTTATAACATATAGTTTTATTTGAGTTGAGTGTGTATGACTGCAAGAATATGTCTCTGTTAGTGTGTGAGAGAGTGGATTTTGTTGTTTTTTCCTTTTCAACATTGATACTATGGAGGAAAGAATGCATTCACAGTATGTCCTGAACAACATGTTGGATGTACAGAATATGTATTTTTTATCACATCTTCTATCGTATGAAAAATAATTACATTTTAATTGCTTGGATCAATCTCCATTGTGTTAATGGAAGTCACAAAGTTAATTAGTTTTACTTGTGTTCAGTCCTCTATCCTCTTACCAGTGCCTAACAACTGGTGAGAATGCTCATCCTAATTTGACACAACTTGTAGGATCTCATTATAAGGGGCCTTATTTGTGTGAACGAACGCCGTGGTTCTGGAGTAGTACGTCATTAGCCCTTGTGGGTAAGCACAGCAGTAGTGGACATTTCTCAGCAGGGCCAGCCCAGGTCAAAGGGATTAGCACCGGACATCCCAGAATTAGCGATCCTGACCAACAATGAGACTGATTTAATTCCACAAAAATAGAGCTCAGTCTCTGCAGGGTGTGATGGAGAACATTACTCATTTTATTATTCACTTATTTATCTAGTTATAGAAATGTGTTGATATAAAGTTGTATGCTTGCCTATTAATTTGGTATTGTTTATCTATTTAATTGTTTTTGACAGTGGCCAACATTAGTTTTTACTCATGACTCCTCATGGACACCAATCTCATTGCTGTCAGTGCACGTCAGAACAGTGAGAGGCTGAGGCTGGAAATGTGGAGCAGATTGTTTTGGGGTCAGGGTTCTCTAATCCTCCCAGAGACAGAGGTGAAAGGAGTGGGCAAGGGGACAGAGTCCCCTTCAGCTCCTTGGCCCTGGGCTCTGAGGGTGGGCGGACGGACTGGTCCTGGGTGGAGGTCAATCTCTGGAGACTGACAGACAGTGATGTGATTCCAGTAGGGCAGAGCTGGCACATGGCTCCTACGAGCCCAGCACCCATAGGCCTCTAAGCCACAAAGCACCTTCTACCACCCGTGTCCTTGACGAGCCAAGAAAGGCAGTGTGTGTGTGTGCGTGTATGTACATTTACATTGTGTAAAGGTATAGAAGGATTTTAATTAGATTTGGTGGGGAAAGTGTTGACTAGTTTTATCAAGGAATTGTACTTGTATTTAATGGATAGCATGATTGCAGTGTAGGCCTACACAATGCACACTCCAATTTGCTGGTGTAATATGCTAGGCTACTGCACCCAAAAAATATATTTAGAAAATCCAAGATCCTAAGGAGGTGTTTGAAACCAAATGTGGATTACATATTTGTTATGTTTTTGTATTGAAATGTTATTTTTTTTTTTTTACAATAAACTGTCTTTATAATATTCAATAGCTTTCGTGGTGTCATATATACACATGCATGTTCCAATCCTATCATTTTCCAGTGTCGAGTACCCACTGCATATTTTGAGCAGCTACAACAATATTATTGCTGACTGCCCTTTTGGACATTATTAAAAAGTTTCCAGAACACCATGTAGTTGGCTGGCTGATTCCATATTTTCAACACCATTGTCCAGGAATGCGCCTTGTGGGTTCTTTGTGCCAAGAGCCAACGCTTCTTCTAGCTAGGGGCGCAACCAGCCTGTGCGCTCCTCCAGCAGCGAAATAAATTGCTTTCCAAAATGATGGTAAGGGTTGATTTAATTAGAATTTAATGTGGGCTAAACGGGGGAAACTGATGTAGTTAACATTTGGTGGACTTAATTGGTCCTTTTATCTCCTCTCAGCCCTTAAAAACGCCGAAACTACTCCCGTTAATCTCCCAATCAATTGAATTGGTCAAACAAAAGTCTTGCTCTACTTTTCTTCCTGTCTCAGCCGAGCCTTTTGTTACTTGTAAATGCCTCAATTTTGGGTGATCCTGATCGTGTAGATGTACTCTATTGTTGACAGTTGATTAATGCGCTCTTGTGTTGGTAATCTCTTTCGCTGTCTTACATGTGCACGCAGTAATGAGCTCCGTTGTCAATTAACGTGTTTCTAGAAGCGAAGCTGGTTGCTCAGATGTTTGAGAGGTATGTGCAGAGAAAAGGGCAACGCTGCTGCCTTTAGGTTGTTTACTCCAGTCCCCAGCACTCTTTTCTCCGGCTTTGGACAAGACGGACACTAGTGCATAGCCCTGACGCTTTTCTACACACAAACATTTATTTTGAGAAACTCACACCATGCGCATTTCCCCATCTATAGACTATTCCCTGACAAAGATGGATGAATGGATACTGAAATTCAATGTAGGCTGAGTTGTAAAGATTATTTATACAAAACACAAACCAAACCCGTTATAAGACGTAAAAACAAGTACCATTGGCAACACTTTACATACTGTGTGAACTGTGATAATTATTCGGCCCGTCAACCCAATATGGTTCAGATTGTCAGTGCAAGGGGATACCAACTTGATAGCGTTGCCTATTGTTTAATTGGGCATAACTGACCCCGTGATATTCTAGCTATGTTTGTGTTGGAATTTCATTATGATATTTTTCTGCATATGCCAACCCCCTACCCGCAACTCATTGACTGTAGTCAATTAAAGTGTATTATTTGATGATGCTTTGGAATGTTTGTATAGAACAATTGCCTATAGTCTATCCTACGTAGGCTACGAATTAAAATATGAGAATAATTAGGCCTAACGAAAGTACATTTGAGAATTGTTTTATTCTTCTCATAGCACAATTAAAGCCTACACTTAATAACATTTATGACGCAATGTGACGTGGCTTTCTTGAATTTCTATTGAAAACTCGGTAGCCTAAACTGGAATTGCGCACAATCTGAGTCTGGCACTACACATGAGTGTTCAAATTACGCACAATGTTCAACGCCAACAAATAGGAGTAGGGTGTGAAATATCAAAATATATGCCTAGAGCCTATATGTTGAACAATAATGTCAGCCTTTAGCTGATGTGACAATTTTTTTTTTTTTTTTACTGACAATATAACAATAATGGTTTTGGAAAAAACACACTAGTTGGTATCTTCTGGTCTTTTAAGCAGCTTGTGTGGGACCAGGGGGGACCAGAGGTGAACAGCCCATTCAACTGGTTATATTAGCCTTCTAACCCGTCCCTGGGCATGGTGTATAATTACTAACCGTTCTAATTGGTAGATCGAGATTTGTGAGCACGCGCCCGTCTCTCGTCAGAATTTCTGTTAGCGCACAAGGATAATATTGTTCCAGGAGCCGTGTGCAGAATACGTTATCCTTTATTAAAGTTGGACAGAGGTGGATGATATGGCCCAAGTGCTCTATTATTCATATTCTGATGAACACGTCTTGATGCGGTGAAGCCTCCCCTCGAGGGCGTTTAGCTGATTAATGTAATTCGCATTCAAGAGTGCAGTTTATATCAGATCATTACATTTTAGTCATTTAGCAGACGCTCTTATACAGAGCGACATACAGTTAGTGAGTGCATACATTTTTCACACTGGCTCCCCGTGGAAATCGAACCCACAACCCTGACGTTGCAAGCGCCATGCTCTACCAACTGAGCTACAGGAGGCCTTTACACGGAAGTCAAGTGTAGCATCATCAGACTTGTCTCTTTGTCTGGCAAAAAGTGCTTAAACTGAATTTATAGCCACCAATTTAAAGTGGAGGTTTATGATTTACATTTTAGTCATTTAGCAGACGCTCTTATCCAGAGCGACTTACAGTTAGAGAGTGCATACATTTTCAGTGATGCTGCACAGGCCTAACAGTTACTTCTCTCAACCAAGTAACAGGAGCCATGTATTATTGCCGTATAAACCCAGACTAGCCTACACACTGGTGCTAGTAAAACAGCTGCTTGCAAAGCTTTTTTTGTGAAAAAGCAAACATCTGGATATTTGAGAGGATGAAATTGCCTATAGGCCTATCAGACGGATCACTGTCTTCGCAACTGGTTGGTTTGCATAGGCTACGTATAGCTTGATTTGGAAGAAGGCTGAAACGTTGGCCTATTGCAATATGATATGAGCCAAGCGTTATGAAATATCAATACAATTCTGTTCTGATATGTTATAGGCCTTTTCAAATAATTGAATGTAAACGTTTTCGATAACATTTTATTTAGGATACACTTTTTATTTCCTATTAATAAATGGCAACAGATGAAATTGTTAAACATTTAATTTTATGCATAAGTTATGTTGATGTATAAAACGTTTTATCCACATGTAGGTTACAATTTAGTTGTATGTAGCCTACATAGTAATGTATAAAAATGCGCCCACGGTAAAATACTTTTAAATTACATTTTATTTTAATATTATTTACAATTCGATTTTCACACGTTATGCAATAGAAAGAAAAAACACGTCCTCCTGAATTTACCCATGGGTGGAGCAAATAGTAATTTCCTTCGTAAATGTTTATAACATGAATTCATTCACGGTCAGAATTTACTGCACTGCTGCAACAATACAAAGTTCCCATCCTCATTATTATAATTTTGAAATCGAATAACAACCTAAAACACAAATTGCCTTCCATCAGTCTATCAAGTCGTCACAATGTTTTATTTTTATGCTTTATAATTTCCCTTCTTTTAACAATTTTATTTGATGTTTTCATCACTCACTGAAAACTGGAGAAAAACTGCATTGAGAAATGTGCACTGGCGAGGCTTAATAAACTGTCCATTTAAGTCAGCTTTGGGGTCCCCTGGAAGAATCGGTCGCCACAGATATAGGCCTACATGAGTTATTGTCGTGCAACTTCCTTATGTGTTTTTTCAGGTCAAAGTTTCTGCAGAAGCCTTTCCCGCAGGTTCCGCACGTGAAGGGCTTTTTGTCGTTGTGCGTGTGCATGTGAAAGGTTAGGTTGTAGACCTGATGGAAGGCCTTGTTACAGATGGAACACTTGTACTGTTTCTCTCCACTGTGCGTCAACTTGTGGTTCTTGTAATTTCCTGAAATTGGGAAATGAAATTAATAAAAATGAACATCGCGAATAAAGTGAACAGCATACACTAAATGGAACACAAATTTAGCTGCTTTCTTCTCCTCAAGGTCAACTGGTCACCATTAAGTTACTCTCCACAAAGGCGCTCCATTCTACAGCCTTCATTAATTAGCGCTTTGCATGTTGAAGTCAATAAATTGTCAAACTTTGTCAAAGTCAAACGTAACAGCAACTGAAAACGGTCAGATTATAAACCAGAGAAAGTTCTGTCTCTTGACCCATGGCGAATTTAAGAGTCTTGTGTGGAGAGTTAGTTAGTGTAAAGTGACATGACCTATTTAGATTGATGCTTCAACATCATCAGAGGGCAGCACGGGTATCAATTTTTACCAATAATATTTGATAGGCCTCTAAATAATAGGAATTGTGTGCCTTTGCTGTTACTTTTGGATGTAATCTAGGCTACATTAGCATTAGGTTATAACTGGGATATATCATTACCACCATCATATAGCCTAGTTATTGTCATAAAAGTGTGATTTTTAATTAATATTTGTCTGGGATATTAATTTCATAAATGTATAACGCAGGCTGAAAATAATATGATCTGTATTATTTTATTATGATGCTCTGGTGTTATATTATTCTAAAAACATATAGCCTAAGACAAATTAAAACCTATAATGCGTGTTTTTGTAAATATAGCCTACCATAGAGGATATCCTGAATATTTTGACCAGGGTTTAAATGGTAATAATTACCTTTCTGATGAAATCCTTTCCCACAGAATTCGCAGACGAAAGGTTTGTACCCGGCATGGATCCGTATGTGAGTGTTCAGCGTCGAACTTCTGTTGAACGCCTTGCCACACTGGTTGCATTTATGAGGCTTTTCCTGATAAAGAAATACAATATATATATATATGATTATTATTTGTAAGCAATCCTCGAAGGAGTTTATAGTATAGTCATATATAACTAATATAGTTATTATCGAGGGAAATATGATATGTTTCACCTGTGTGTGGATTATTTTGTGTCTGCACAATGTGCTGGCCTGACGGAATCCTTTCCCGCACACTTTACACACAAACGGCCTCGCGCCTGTGTGCACTGGCATGTGTCGTGTCAAATTATAATGAGCATTGAACACCTGCAGAAGAAAACAAACAATCTCGTTTTCACTTTTCTTGTATTTCATTTGTGAGATGTTTTGATAATTGAAACAAACATTTCAGCTTCAATTTAATTTCCAAATAAATAGGGTATGCCTATTCTAATCTATTGCACAAAACATTTACAATAACTGATACTGCGTTATTGTCTATAGGTCTATATGTTTTTTTTTTTTTTTAAGGAAATGTAAGTGATTTGCAAAGCAAATAATAAGCAAACAAAACGAACAATAACAATTGCATCGTTATTATTTTATACCATTCGTTTTACTGAATTAAATCCTTTACCTTTCCACACACTTCGCATGTGAAGTTTTTGGGTTTCCCGTCCGTGGAGCTGTTGTTGAGCTTGCTGTGCGCTTTCACTCCATTTTTCTCCGAGGTCAGACTATTGTTCTCCTTCACTATCTGGTCGAGCTGGCCAGGGAGATGCTCCTTGTGTGGGTACTGAGGTGTCGGAAACTTTTCGGTCGAAGCGCTGGCGAGTTTGGCATTCTCCAGCAGTAGCAGTTTCTGGTGCGCACTGAGAGAGGCTTGGGCTTGTGAGTTGGCCAGGGCTGAGGAAAACAAGTGTCCGCTTAGCAGCTCAGACTGGTGATAAGCAGAGTCCAGGTAGTTAAAATAATAAAGAGAGCCGTTGGTGGGCATCGCCACTGCCTGGTGGATGACTTGGGGTTTTATCACCCTCCCCGGTAGTAAAGAGTGCTTCAACCCCGAGTCAATTTTGTCACACATCCCGCAGTTGGCTTTGCACATCCCCGCAGAAGTGCATAGTGTTCCTCTGAAATTAGCTTTCCAAAATTCGGAGTAGTTCATCAGCGCCTTGGCTTGTAAATCGTAGCTAAAAGGTTGCAGGGGGATCATGCACGGTATAGGTGAGCAGAGACCCAGCATCTTTGTTCCCTCTGAAGACTCCACTACTCGCCGCTCATCCAAACGGCCTTTTGGTTCAGAGTTCTTGGACATGATCCGTTCAATGGAGAAGGCCAGCGCCTTTGGGGCGGCGGACACTCCGTTCCTACCGCCATCGAGTCGTGGGCAAGACATCACCGTTCCCAAAGGGAGAGAACTTGACATTTTGTGTACCGAACTTGGTGTGAGCAGCAGCCGACCAGCCCTCCTGTCCTCGCCTCCTGAATTCCAGAAAAGACCGGTCCCACATCAGTTTAATAAGGACCTTGGTATTACAATCTCACCTATTTGCATTCAAATGGGCATCCCTGGAACAATAGCGTCCAGGGGTACCAGATTAATGCTCATTAGTACACACAAAATTAACAGGACATTACAGAGCTCGTTAGGGAAAAGAAAAAGACAAAAAGCAGTGAGTTAATTCCTATTCAACACCTCTGAGAATCTGATAGCAAACTTAGCGTCAGAGTCAATGTTGAAGTTTACCTTTTTGTAAAGCGACGACAGATGTATTCGGAGATAGCAGCGTGACTGCTCTGTCACATTTTGGAAGCGGACGTCTTCATCAGCGCGAGATCACTGTCTCTTGCATTTAGCTACATCACATGGACTAGCTCATATCAGGGTGACAAGGAAACGCCATCACCAGCCCTGCCTCTTCTCCCGCCGCCCACTTATATACTGCCATGGGGGTGGTATGCATGACAGTTATTACAGATTATTATTTATGTCTCCATCCTCAAATACTCTGCTCATACCACCAGCCATTCTCTAATCGAATAACTATGATTTAGTCTATTCCTTTCTCGAAAAAAAAAGAAAAAGATGAGGGCCATTTGATCATGTTAATTTGAACAATGTGTTATTAGGCTATTATTATTATTGTTGTTGGTATTATTTGTTTGTTGTTGATTGTTGCTGACAACACTATCAATTACTGTTTTTAGGAAATAGGCCTAGTATTCAAAAAAAAAAAATGATTTAATTCAGGCTGCCATGTTTTGAATTGGAATATCGGTAAATATTAGGCTAATTAGTTAATAAGATCATAAAACTCATTTTCTGATTGTATGCTTCTAACTGCAAAAATTCACAATTTATTAGGCCTTCAGAGGTTGTTTAACTTGATTAACAATAATTATTTTTTGTCCTCTGGTTTAACCAGACTACATTTTAATTGTGAGTTGCTAATCCTTGGAGATGGAATAGTTTTTCCATGCTGGTTTATTACTATTTGAATAATTGAGAAGGTCCAATTTCCACCTGTTTAAAGTGCAGATCGCAAGAGCAGAACCTCCCTCGGATCCTATTAAACGTTTTTCCTCCACCTATTCAGAAGAACCAATTTTCCAGAGCGATTCAGAACTCAGCTCAGCCCCGAAAAAAACAGCTCTTTCAGTTTTAGCTACTAAAGCACTGCGTGGAACCTGGTTTTGTGTTTTTCTTAAATAAAAGGACGGATTAAGGGGGAAGAAAAGACTTAGCCTGGCCAGAGGTAGACCTTTAAATAAAAAGAGCTCTTTTTAAACCAGCATAAAAAGTTTGCTGGAATCCAGAGTTTTGTGTGCTTGTTACAATGACCAGTTGCCCTCTCCTCTTTTTTCATAAGGACCAGCTTAAATTAATTTGTTTGCAGACGATTTCACCTGAGACGCACAACAAATGACTACAAAAATAGATTCCAAAATAACTTTGCAAGTTCACACCCACAAACGCGCATTATGATTTCCTTTATGCCTATTATTATATATTATTATTATTGGTTTGACAACGCATTGTTGAAGTTTATTTTGTCGACCATGCCATTCTAAAGTTTTCTCCCCTTAATATCGAGTGTGGATAAGTTAATTGTCATGTCCTTGAGATAGGCTAATAATAGGCTACTCAAGGTCAGGACATAGTCTTTCTTGGGTGAATATGGAAAATGTGAACTGAGATAAACTGCTTTTATTTCGACTTTATTTCATAGTTTAAACTAAAGGACAAACACTTGTTCAGGATACTGACTTCCGTTCGTTTCTCTGCTCTTTTTGTACATGATTGATAAACATGTAGAAAATATACGAAAATAAGCCATACATTTTCACAACAGTCTTTACTGATGACAAAAAGGTGTGTAGTCCTACGTAACCAAGACCTGAATATGTAGGCCAATTATGCTACATCTTAAATCCCGTTACACACCTGCAGCTTTAGCGCAGAAGGGTTTAAACGAGTCCCACTAATTCTACTCATATGTAAATGATGTAACTGTAATTTGAGTTTATTCAGGCCCATTACCGGCTCGTCCACACAATAAACATTTATCCTATTGCTGTAACCTCGGCCCACTACTCGGCATTAACACGTTCAGCAATTAGCTCGGGCATCGACTTAGGGGACTAGCTCTTGTCTCTTCTTTCCAAAGCAGGCACGCAAACATGTAGCCTACACAATGCAGCTGGCCGGGACGCTGAATTTTCATGACAAATTTGTTTGTTTATTGTGTCCCAATCTATTACCGTGATACGCTAGACCTATACTATATTTGGTAGTAAACGGTGGACTTGTTGTACTATCATGGTTTTGACAGAAGCTGCATGTTTTCCTCGCAAAACTGAAGAAAGTAAAACCTAGTCTATTATAATTCAATGTACAGTATGTAATGTATATATTTTTTAAATCAATAACTGTAAAGTTTATCACGGATATAGTCTACTCATATTCAAAGTAGACAGCCTATTAGTTCACAATTATACGCATAATGCAATATTAAAAAGGTAAGGTGGTGGTAAAATGACAACAATAATAAAACACCTGTGCCAAGCTCATGATGCCAAATGTATGATGACATCTGCTAGCTGTTTGGCATTCAGGTCCATTCCAAACCTAATTCAATTATACTGTACATCATAAACTCTTATCTCAAACCATGCTTTTGATTTTGAAAATGAAGCAAAAAGTAGTAAACAACATTCAGAATCGCTGTCAAACCTATTGACTTATTTTCTAAATGTATATTTTCTCTTCAGTTTAAACACACGCAGAAACTTACAGACATTCACTCTTCTTTGTATTAGTTTAAGTGACAGACAGTGGAGGGAAAGCGTTGGAAAACGCCTTGGTGCTGTTGACTCTGCAGGAAGTCAAGTAGAGAAGTTTCCAGAGCGACCTGCCACTGAGAGTTGGCCCTGATGCCACAAGTGACTAGAGAGAACATGTCTCTTATTGAATCCTATAGGATTTGTGCCATCTCTATCAGAATGTTATTGGAAACCTATTGGACCATTTCCCCCCCCTATTGGATCCTTTAGGTTTTTGACAAGTATTGGATGATATTCTCACCCCAATCAGAATCTTATTATAACTTTTTTTCTTAATTTAACCCATTAAATTATAGTTTGTTGTCATTCATTCCAGTACAATAAAACAACATTAATTACATTTTCTTTGATCGGAAACAACAGTTCTATGTTAATTTCGATTTTATTCACCACCACAATATGACATTGATTCAAGGCTGCCAGTTCATTTGCATTATGACCACCAGTAGTGCACCTTTTTTTCAACAAAACAGGAGTTATTTTATTTTATTCTTATTCATGCAACTTCTTGTTGTTGAATTAGATCTTACAACATGACATAGTATACTATACTGAATCAGTGGAGGATCCTCAGAGGAGGAAGGGGAGGACCATCCTCCTCAGTGAAAAATATACACAAAAGTAATAATAATTGTAAAACATTAAAAAAGTTATCCTTTTTAGATAAAACTATACAAAATATATTCACGTCACAAAATAATTGATTAAAACACTCTGTTTTGCAATGAAGGTCTACAGTAGCCTCAACAGCACTCTGTAGAGTAGCACCATGGTGTAGCCGGATGACAGCTAGCTTCTGTCCTCCTCTGGGTACATTGACTTCAATACATAACCTAGGACGCTCATGTTTCTCAACCCCTTCCATAGACTTACACAATAATTATGACAACTTCTGGAGGATGTCCTCCAACCTATCAGAGCTCTTGCAGCGTGAACTGACATGTTGTCCACCCAATCAAAGGATCAGATCATTAATCTAGTACTGATAGCATAAGCTACAGCTAGCTAGCACTGCAGTGTATAAAATGTGGTGCGTAGTTGACTCAAAGAGAGAGAAAGACAATAGTTTAACAGTTTTGAACAAATTAAATTCTTCAAACATTTCGTCATTTTTTTCACTTTCAGTTTAATTACTTAGCTAGCAAATGCAGCTAGCTAGTTTACCCTACTCAAACACCCTGCTCAAACAGAGGGATGCTATGTTAGCTAGCTGGTTATGACTATCCAACACAACACTGGTACTCTTCCAAGTCAAGGTAAGCTTTTGGTGTTACAAATGTACTGTCACCGGAACCCGCCGGTGTAACTGCTAAACTGCTTACTGACTATACACTGTAACATTACTGCATGATTGTAACGGGTTTATTAACGTGTTAGTTCAATTAGCTATGTTGACTATGACGTTACTTTATCTAATATGGTGACAACGATGTAGGCTGTGTGTAGCGGTTTTGATATGGTTTGGCTTGGAAAGGTTTTTTCGCCTGGTCACATACAGCTGATGTGTTGTGCATTGAAGTCCACAAACAAAGGGAAAAGGTGAGAGGAGAACAGCGCATAGATGCGAGAAGGAATACAACGTGGCAACTATGAAAGTGAGCTGTGTTTACGCTTGATCAGGGGTGTATTCATTCTGCCGATTCTGTTGAAAAAAGTTTCTTAAACGGAAGCAAACGGAATGGAAGGGGATAAACATACCTGAATTTGTCCAATAGAAACTCTTGTTTGCAACTGTTGGACTAATGATTACACCCTAGATGACCTAGATGCAGGCAAGAGTGTGCAAGGTGGTATTGAATGTGCCACTGTCTGTCCATGTGTCACTGTCTGTCACCTCAAATGTTTCTCTCGACCTGTGTGCACCTACGTTGTAAACTTTCATTCATACACTAGGTTGTAGCAACCTCATGATGGGCATAGGGAAAATTAGAGTATCATTAGTAGACTAAACCTATCGATGTTACATTGAACTGGGTGAATGGAATATGAATGACAGTCATCCAATATGCTTTAATAGAAATAAGGCCATACTCCTGAAAAAAAATCTGCCTC